ATTATTATTATTATTATTACCTATCATTGTGCACATTATGTAATGCCAATATTTGAGAGAGACATACAATCTGTAGTCTTCTTTTTGAGAGAGTGTAAGAAAGAAGCAGACACTTGCTGTCAAGTTCCCCCTCAACAGCAAGTATCCCACGAGTACTCTTCAGAAAAAAGTCTGTCAGTCCTGGGATTGCTGTTCTGGCTAAAGCATATGAAGTGCTAAATGACATACCCCCTATCTCACTGCCATATCCAATGACAAAACACCATTTAATAGGAGGATGAGTTGAAAAGCAAGTCATTACATGTACCATACTTTTTTCATTTTAACTGGGTGGCTTTTGTCTTATACTACATCCTACAATGCCATTGTACCTTGGAAATAAAGTATGTATATTTAGCTTATTTCATTAAGCTTTAACAGTCAAACTATTAAACTACTGTAACTTTTTGCTTTAACCTTTTTTCAGCACAAATATATAACTTAAAACTAACACACCCCCTGAAAATCCTCCAGTGGTTTAACATATCACCTTTCTGCAGTGATGTACATGTGCACTCCAGGAAACAGTGCGGTAGCTTTTGGGTGTGGTTATAGGTGCAACAGGCTTGAAACTTCCAACCAGAGAGGGCAGTGAAACACTGCTTTACCCCCTCCATTCAAAAATATGTTTTTCTTGATTGACCTTCACTGTGCAGAATGACATGTGCAGCATTTGACACTAGAATGATGTTTTCACATTCATCTACTGAAAGTGGAAAGTTTCTCTGTGCTCATTGAAAATCTGATATTAAGATGGACTTTACAGTGAAGTAGGAGACATCTTGTGTACAGCAGGAAAACTTTAGAAATGAACAAAATTTACATATTCATAAATTTTCTAATGAGTTAGAAGGAGTATATGCCTCTTTAAGAATCAAATTATACTTTTGTTTTTGCAGGAAAAAACATATAAGACACACATTATTGTTGCAGGCAAAGTATTTGTATATGTGGTAATACATAGAATTTCTAGAAGAAATTTAATTTTCTGGAACGTTCCTTACCTGATCTGGCTGTTTTGATATTAACAGACTGGAAGCCTCCATTTAGTGCTGAGGTGTCGATGATGTCCGAGTCAAAGTCACGGTGCGTCTTGCGGTAGACAAAGAGCGCCACGATGACAGAGATGACCAGGCACATAATCACTGCGATGACAATTCCCACGTACAACGCCACATCATCTGTACTTGGAGCAGCTGGAGGGGACACAAAAACAGGAGGGACACAATTATAGACCGACAGATATTATTAAGGAAGTAGGTCCAAACGAGAAAATATATACTAGCAATAAACAGCTACAAAAATGATAATTCTTATGGAACGGCAGGGCAGAGGCAGAGAATAAATCTATATTATTTTAGGTAAGACAGGATGAAATAGCAGGCTTCAAATTAAATTAATATGACTCTATGTCATTCTTAATTTGTATTCGGCGATTTCACTTCACTTCTACCTCAGACCACCTATCAGACTCAAAGGACACTTGACTATAGGTTCCATTTCAAATGAAACTTCCAAATAGCCCTCCAGCTTGTGTAATATGATAATTTGTCTAGACTGAGGTAGAGAAAGACAGAGACACCTTTCATAAAAAAAAGAAAGGCACCAACTCTTAAAACTTAATAAGCCTGTTAATTATTTTACAAGGGTCCTAACATCCTTTTCCAATCTGGCTGAGACTTTAATGGTGTTTCAGTGAGAACAACGATGGAATTGTCATTCATGATCCATATTTTCAAGCAGAGGAAGGGACTAAGAAAAATTTAACCGATAGGTGATGCGGATGGTAAAAAGGCATGAGCCACACTGAAGAAATGAAGAAAGGAAGAGGGGAGACAAGTTCAGAATGCAGGGGAGGAATGACGAGGAAGTAATAGGGAGGAAAGTCAATAAGTGGAGAGGAACATAGAAAAGAGGACACACAAGCGAGTAACGAAGAAAAAAAAATGGAGAGGAAAGGAAGAGATAGGTTGGGAGATAAGATGAGAGGAGAATAGGGAGGGAAGGGGAGTGAAATATAGAGAATAAAAGAAGCATATAAAAAAGAAATAGGAAGCAGGGAAGATGAGAGGAAACAAGTAGGGCACAATAAATCAGGAGAGGAATGGAGAAAGAGGAAAGAAGTGATAACAGCAAAGAAGAGGAAAACAGGGCAAAAGAAAAGGAAATGCACTTGAACTTCAAAGCAGCTAAACAAAAAAAGTCTACACATTTAACATGAAAGTGCCTGTGAAACTTTTTTGGAATAGTCTCACACTTAAAGCACTCCTTGTATAATTGTGTCCTCTGTAGCTAGTAGGAGGGGATTTGTCTGCAGCTATTAAGAAGACAGAAAAGTATAGGAATGCTCCTTTTAATCCGCCCTTAAAGTTGAGAGGCAGATAACAGGCTTTTAGCTACAAACAGCCTGAGTCATTTGCTAAAGGATTTGCTGTTGTCACATCAGAAGTTCAGAAAGCATGAACTTGATTATGCATGAAAGAATCCTTTGATGAGGCACACAAACATTCACGCTCACATATGCCCAAGCATGATTCACACATACACACATTCACAGAAGAGAGGTCACTCATGATGGTGTTAGCTCATTTACCACTTGAGGGAGCTATGCGCCATTTTCTAGTGTCTCTGGGGGAGCTGAGTGCATGAGGGTAAAGCATGTCTCTCATAATTAAGTCTCCGACTGGTTGAACCAAATGTCTCTGGACACTTTGTCCAGGAAACAGAAAAATTATGCTTAGGGTACGGTCCTTGTGACACAGTTTTCTGTTAAATAACCACAATTTTTAATTCATCACAAATGTACATAAGAATTTCGGCATTTCTCACTTTTTTTAATCAATTAAAAGATTAATTATAATAATAATTGTCAGTTCCAGTCCTAAACTAAACTGCTGTCCAACAGAGTTGTCTTACTGCTGATCATTAGTTTAGTGTGTCATAAATGAGATGGTGGTGGAGGAAATTAAACATTCATATAATGTTTTACAAACCCGTCAGCTCAAATAGCTGCCAAATATCGGTTCATCACATTTAACTTAAACTTAGAGACCACCTTTAAATCTCCAAAGTTTAACCCCTAAGGGTTTTGTCGATTGCAGTTACCAATTTCCTTTTGATGATGTTGAAAGGATTGCGGTAAAATCCCTAGTGCTCCGACTTCACTGCTGCACAAAGTTGCCCTGTTATCAAGGTCCTTGCACTTGCCAAGGGGGAATAGAATTGAATAATCCTCTTAAGTACCAACTCCCTGATCTTAATTATGATCATCATCATCCTCATCTATTTAGGGAATTTTTATCTTGTTTCTACTTTAACTTGAAGGTCTATAACTTCAGAAAAGTCTTAAGAAAACATCACTTCTAAACTTGCTTTTTCCAATCCTATTTTGCTATCAAGAGTTCTGGGACACTTTGGGATAAGTTAACTAGGCTATGGTCTGCTGTGTTCTCGATATATGTGCGTGTGTGTACGGAGGGTAACGTGATTTATACCAGTGGGCTTAAACATCCTTTCTTCACTGTCTATCAGTTTATATCCCATCTCTCTCAGATCTTTCTCTCCCTCCATAACTCTCAACTCCATCTCTTCCATCTCTGACTCCATCTGTGTGATTTGTAGATGAATGAAACAACATGTCCCATTAGAGCTTCTACCTGCCTGAGTAACCTACATATGACGGCAGGATACCAAATATTGTCTTTTTTTCCCCTATCATTTTTCTATTATCTGCCTTTTTCTGCCCTAATTTTCCATTTTCACTTTTCACGTTACAAGTAAACATCAGTTTATGGTTTCTGGTAAATCAGTGGTTATGCTACTGATAATCATACTAAAATGATTGGTTTCAAGGAAATTGATGGAATTCATTTATAATTAGAAACAAAACTTATATAAAAGTGGGATGAAAGATCAAAATTATTATTCTTTAAAATAGATAAATCATCCAAAAGTTCTTAGTTTTGTGAACATACAGTAAAATATCCTCGATCGATTGACTAAATTGAGCTTACCGCTCAGTGACATTTTTTGAAATGGACAAAAAGAAAAGAAAATGTCACTAATTTACAGTAGCTTTTCTACAACACTCAAGTGCTGCTGCTTTGGTTGAAAATGGCCTATTCTTTAATTCTGATGTTCTTTTATTGTCTGACAGCCTTGCATAATAGGCTGTCTTTTTCTGACAAGATGGGGGCTGAAAAAGGGACTGAACGTGGGTGTGCACTTTTGACCAAACCCAGATGAATGAATAATGTGTTTAGACCTCTGTGTGTATCTAAGCGTGGCCTGAGGCTGTGCTCTGTGAAGCCAGAATGACAAAATTGGCAGTGATAGAATGAGGAAGGCACACAGTCTGACTAAGTACTGATAGGTACACACCTATGTTCATTTTTATGAGCATTCATGCGAGCACTGACACTCACAATGAATGCACAGGCAGACATGCACACATCCGTATTAACTTTTATCCACAAGTCAACTATCTCCTGTGCTTTTCCTCCTTTGTACCTGACAGGGAGTTTTCATGTCCAAAGCGCTCACCCGCAAGCCTGGCTAAATTGGATTTAGATTAAAAATATGTGCTTTTCAGTGGACACGTCAAAAAGGAATTGAATAAACGATACGTCTGTGATGTTCCAGCAAGTACTATCTGACAGCTCTCTATAGGAGGGAGAATGTTCTGTTGTAAAGGTCAGGACACGGACATACACACACACACACACACACACACACACACACACTATAACATATACACCAACGTGTGAACAAGTGCAGAAAGAACAAACACACATGCTTCTCGAAAGAACTTGAAAATGATTGTATTGATCCATCAGAGTTCGATTTAGACAATTTGCAGACAGCTGACATGGGAGACAGGTGTGTGTGTGTATGTATGAGAGACTGCCCTTTGAAGAAAATCCTTACTCCCATAGGCAACTGTCTATCATAGTTTCTACAACAACTCAGGTGAGATACACTGCTGACAGTCTCCTTTTTTCATTTGATATCTGTATGCCAGCGTCTTTTGCAATACTTTTTTTTTTGCGTGTGTCCAACAGCTTACATGCTTGTGGGTGTATGAGTTTGAATGCTTGTGTGTGCATGTACTACCGGCCAAGACACTGTTGGTATTAACATCAGTGCCCAAGGAAATAAAACACTAACTTCTTTTAGACTTTTTGACAGACTGAGATTATAAGCTAAAAAATGTTGTAAATAGATTTTTGATCCATGATGGTGAATAGTGCCCGGGGCGAGTAGCAAATGTATTTTTGACAACGTACCAGCTTTCCTTCTTTTCATGGCAAGAATTCATTGCAATTTGTCATAGTTTTGCACAACAGTGTTACCTTACCAGAGCAAGATTGAATAGTGTGTGTGCGTTGTGTCTCCGTGTGTGATCAAAGCCAAATGGTATTTGGTTGAAAAACCAAAATTATTTTGCCAGTGTTTACTGTTCACATGCCAAATTCAGTTTGTTTGCAGTGTACAGTCTGAGCGAGTGATTTGGCAAGTGGGCATATGTGTGTATGTGTGTGTACTGACTGATGTTGTTCCTTACTGTGCCCAATACTAATAATAATAATAATAATAATAATAATAATAAAAATGGCAAAACTTCTAAAAATATATCTAATATAAAAATATAAATCTGTGAATTTGGTTACCAACTGTATCGGTAATGTGTGTGCCAATGTGTGTGCCTAATAAACATTTGGGTGCTCAGGAAATTGCAGAAGTTATACGCACATACTCGCACATGCAGTTGATTACACACATGGGCTAGTGGAACAGAAGCCCCGGCTCACCCTCAGTCAGCATGGATCGCTGTCTATTGATTGGCTGAGCTTTTTGTCATTCTCAGAGTCTGTCCAATCTGCCATGGAGAGGATTTAAAGAGGAGGGGGGGGGGACAAGGATAACTCAGCTTAGCTCGTCTCTATCTTCTCTGTGATCTGCATCCAAAGCAGAGCTGTGGACAATCACTACTTGAAACTCATTCAACTGCCTTTTTGATCTCGCTTGGCACAAACATGCAAACACCACCCATACTACACTCTTGGCATACATATCCGCTCTAAGTAACTGGCAGGGATGAACGGAAGAGAGACAGTCAGAGAGAGAAAGCAGGCAGTCGTTTGTAAATCTGCCGATCCTTATTTCCTATAGTGGGGATGGGAAAAAAAGAAACTTGGTTGTTGGTGCCAAGAAATAAAATATGGAGCCACATTGGAGTCACCAAAGCCAGAAGGTGTATTTCAAGAGTACAAACAGATCTTTATATAAAGTCATTAGATCCCATACATTGTGTAACAACCCTGTAATGTAGTGCGAATGTAGCTATTTAATCAATGGACTGAATACAAACCTTTCAGTGCAACTTGTTTTATCCAGCTGAAAGGAACATTATGACCTCCTTCAGTGTCTGCTGGGCACAAATATGAATCACAAAGTACTGGCAGAAGCCTTATCCCTCCACACAAATCTACAGCTCAGACACCTCCCACCCTTCTCATCGCCTCAAGCTAAGCTGGCCTGTAACTGACACAAACATCTGTGTCACATTCTTAAAAAAGAGACAAGTTCTCAAAAAAGAGACCGGTAAGTTAAAAAGTTTGAGAAAAAATGCTAAATAAAGCAGTGCAATTTTACAACTGTTCTGTTATTTAATTTGGCTTGAAGATAAAGGTTTCATACATACTCATACATATTCACACTAACCTGTGACAGTTGGTAAACCATTGATTTGCCCTAACTTTGTCACGAAGCATACAACAGTGACTACAATGTGACTATAATGATCTACTGAGGGTGCGAATGACTCAAAGACCTTGCTGTGGTGAAGGTGTGCTTACGACTGTGAGAGCATTCATCTATATCAGTGAATTAACAATTCATTACCAACCAGAGTTGGTGATTGTTGGCAGAATATAAAGACTAACAAACACTGTTTTGGTTAGTTTTATTTTGTTTCTGTTCACTTTTAATGAAGTTACAATGATATGCAAGGTACAATTAGCTACCGTTTCTGTCTGTGGAGTCTGGTGGCGTGTGATAGCGATATTATAGTTGTTTCTGGTTCAACAAAATGTCTCTCTCTGTTCCTTTCCATAATGTTGTCAGACACAATAACAATCTGAGCCACAAAAGAGCACTTTTTAGTGGACATACTTTGAAAGGTGCAGTAAGCTTATGTTGCACCCATTGCAACCTTTTTCAGGAACACATCTTTAAGGGTTCAAAACTGAACCAGCATTCGTAATCATTTTTGGTGAGTTTTATTTTGTTTCTGTCCCATTGTTTCGGTCTGAGATGCTGGTGCTATAGTGCGACATCCAGTGGCAAGTGAATTTCATATAACCTTCAAAAGTAGTTGTTTTCCCAACAGAGATGTTTCAACAGAAATCTCTGCACATGTATATAACAATTACATCACTGGTATTGACCAAATACCATATGATACCATATATCAAATACCTGCAAATACAGTACGGCCATGGCTCTGCATGGAGCTGTACACATTTTCCATACTGCTTCTTTAACTGACAACTGTGGATGCAGAATCTGATTTTGCCAACGCAGCTATTGGATGTCAAACCAGATATGCAGGTGGTTATAAATGCATTTGTGATCTAACTTAAGGCCCTGATATTCTCCGAAATGGAGAAGGATATTGACATAGACAGCAGACACCTCACGTTTTGTTTATACCACACTGGGCATCTGCATAGGACGGGTTCAAACATGTTCAGGCATGTATGGCCAGTTTAGCAATATACAAAGAATCATTCAAAGCATCAAAATAAACATCACAAATCAAATGACATGACATTTAAATCTGTACTCATACTCTAAAACAAAAACAGCACCAGTTACCAGATTAGTGAGTCTCAAAGCTACTCATACAACCTCCCAATGCTCATGTAACCGACTGTATTTTTGAATATTAAAACCAGAGTGACGATCTGTTAAATGAGCAATGACTGCCTCTATCTCATCTCTAGTTCTCTCTCTATCTGTGTCTATCTGGTAGTAGTCATCTCACAAAACACACCGGGATGATGAAACTGCTTCAGCAGACCTTAAACGAGAGTCATTAGAACACATCACAGGCGCTTCATAGATTGCTTTGAAGATAAAATGAGAGCTTCTGCAATGAGAAAAGTAAAAAGCGTGCTACTAATAAATGGCAGAGGTCCTTTCCCTCTTGCACCTCTCAATGTCTGTATTTCTCACAGTTTGTAGTAAATCTCTCTTATTATATCACTTTGAGAAATCAACTAACAGTGAAACAGATGGAAAGAAAGAGAGAAAGACAGGGAGAATTTAGGGGAAGAGGACATGGTAGGAAGAAAGGAAGATAGCAAGTACAGCTGAATATATTTCTTACACCCTATTATCATCTCTCACCCTTTTTATTACTCATTAGGCAACTTTCATACCTGCCAAAGAAGTTCCCAGGTGATCTTGTGCAGTCCTATTAATTTTTCTCTTCTAGAAATGGTGCATTAGAAAGGGGCTGATTTGACTTATCAATCAATCATTCATGATACTTCAAAGAGACTGGGTTCAAATCAGTAGAACCGAACAAAAACTTCACCCAGCTCAGTGTCCATAGTTGGGCCGTGATTCCACTGAGTTTTAAGTGAACCAATATGCTTGTAAACACACAGCAAGTGTTCAGAACTAAGGCAAATTGCTTACTTTGGCAATGATCCAAAGCTGGCTGGCTACTCTCCAAAATGACCACAGATGCAACAAACTCACAAATTGAGAATCAAGTGAACTGGTGCTGAATCGATTCCCTGCTATCAGACAGGAAGAAAGAAAGAATCAAGTTAATTAAAGGAATCTGTCACCACTATTGTACATTCATTTTCCAGACACAATTCTGGGATCCTGCACTACATTTCACATAGTGGAATTTGTTTTAGTAGAGCTCCTACGCAAAACAAATAAAATCGAAAGATACATAAAGAAATAAAAATAAAATATTATTATGCTTCTAGGCAGAGCCTGTAAAGTTGAGTTTAATGATTTTTTCCGTTCTTTTTGTATGATGTCATGTCTTACGAAATGTAACTGGCATTCTTGTCTTTCTGTTTTCCACAGTGTAAGTAAAAGGAAAATGTAGTAAAATTAAAGTGGTAAAACATTATTAGAGTTGTTCACTTGTAGTTTGAAGGAGTGAAACCCAATATTTGCAAATATAGCTAGATATATTTAGATTTATAGTGTAGTGTTAACACCTTAAAATATGCCCAAATATGCAACAATAATTGATATTTCCCACGCTTGCGCTCGAAATAAGCATGCCTTAAAATTACTTATGTGTCAGTGACTACTCAAGTCCATTGTGTGAAAAGTCCAAATCACTCTGAGATGTGCCTTAAAATGGGTTGGTGCAATGTTGTGCCAGGCACAAATGTCTGGCCAGTTGTCACTTGACTTTGCATTAATGTCATCTTGAGTCCTGTCAGGACCTGCTTTGTATGCAAGGAGTATCGAGAACAGCAGAATCAAGAAAGGTTTTATTTCTCAATGAAAGATGCAAAACTGTTGATCATCACTACATTAGAAACCTTCTCCTTGAAGGTGCAATATGTAAGAATTGGCAGATTTTGGGCACCTGTTGAATTCATACTTCAAACAAGCAGCATCTCACCAGAGTAATCACTAACTGCTGCTAACTGTAGCTGTCGTTAACTAGTTGCTCAGTTAGTTGTGCCTGACACGGAGGTCAGTTTGACGACAGGGAATACAGTACAGAGGTGATTTACAGTGGCTCTGAACAGGATTCTGACCCCGGGGATGAAAAAGACACGGTGGGATCAGATGGGGACTAGAGAGGCGTAAAGAGGAGTGAGAGGGAGGATGGGCATCAGAGAGGATGTGGGGGAAAACAGCGTGAAGAGCCAGAAACAGTTCACATCTAACTCTGTCAATTAAGGGTTTATTTCTGTGGAAAGACTAACCAATTTATATATTCAATATTTTGTTTGAATGAAGTGTGTTTTACAATGAGTTAACAATGCAATTAAGTTAAGCTGGACAGAAGAAGAAATAAACTTGAATTCAGAAGGTGTATTGCCTCTTAAGATACAAAGTGGTATTATGAGACAGGACGGACTGCATGCAAGTAGATATCTCTGCAACAATATGGAAAGACGTCTTGACATCACATTATTTCTTTATACTCTGTTGATAATTTTGGCTCATTTGTGAATGTTTTGAATTAATATTCTTATGTATTGCAGCTAAGAATATTACACCAAAGTCATTGCGTTATACAAGCAAAGAGGTAAACGATTCATCTACCCTGACTTCCTTTGTCTGAAAACAGAATACAATTTTAGAACTAGCTACTGTTTAAAAGCTTTTGTTTGATCAGCACAGCAAAGAGATTGCACCATCAAGGGAACAGATCATAGGATGAGAGCAAAACTCTTATCAAGTAATTAAAAATGACATGTAATTATAAAACATTTTATTATGAGCCAAATGTCAGTGCTCAATCAAAGAAAGAAACACTAAGATGAGTAAGACAAAAGGAAAATGGACGATGATAAAACATAAAACATCAACTTACATGGGATTCCCAAATCACTCTTTTCTTTGGGCTCAGTAGACTTCTGAAAAAATGAACCTTGGGACAGGGAAAGAGGGAATGGTGGAATGGATGGAGGAAGGGAGAGGAACACAACAATCAAAATCAAACAAACAAGTCAAATAAAATGGAACAAACATGACAGGACAAAAAAATGAAGTTTGTTTCTTTCTTTGTGTCTTGCTTGCTTTCCTGCTATCCTACATTAAGTTTAGTTCTAGTCAACAAATCAATATCAAAATGTCTGAAGAAAAACAAAACAAAAAATCAAAGCCTCTTATAGGAAAAATGAAAAAAAAAAGGAGATAATTCAAGAAACCCTAGCGTCTGTAAAACAGTTACTGCTGTGTCATGCTGAGTGGTCCACTTAGTCTGGGCAGACAGAAGGTCTATGACACAGATGAACTGCTGATGTACTGATGTATAATTGAAGTTCTACTGTATAATTGATAAAGGCAACACAGCAACATGGTGCGCTTAAAAGCTTCTTGCCACACCAGCTGGATGTACAGACACACTGACACGGCACCAAAGGGCAAGAAAATCTGACATGGTTAAGTGGGGTGATGTGCAAATATAAACATACAATAGCAATCATGCATAAACATTTATTTTTAGCTATGTGGGTGGACTCGGCTACATTGCTCAGGAATTTTAAGGTTACTGTAACTTAGCCATATAATTCAACTTACTTACTGGCATGGCTTTGCATGATTCAGAATTGTTTTTTATCAGATTTGTTATTCTTGTATTATATAACTGAGCAAATTATTGCATTTATCAGGCTGCAGATTTCATACGAGTGTGAAACCTATGACAGAATAGTCATTCTTATACATTCTCTCAATGGGCTAACCTTTAGCCAATTAAATAATGAAAATAAAATATAAAATAAAACCTATTTTTCTGGGGACCCCCGGCACCACCTTAATGACCCCTAGGGGTCCGCAAACCCCATGTTGAGAACCACTGATTTAGACTACTGTGTTTGCCAAAATACTGATCAATGTCTGAATCAGCGATGATAGTAGGGGCAACATGGCATTACAGAAATTTATTATGTTCTAATTATAACACAATTGTTCAAACAAATATGAAAACAAAGATGACTGTAAAATGAAGCGTAAATGATTTAGTAAGAGCCAGCACAAGCATTATGGACAGACAAGAGGAAGCACAGACGAGGACAAAAACATTTAAGAAAAGAAGGCTAACAAGCAGTGCAGCAAACGATACGACAAAGTGAAGGAACAGGAATCCACAATGAGAAGAAATTAAAGTGGGAAGAATAGAGCTTTCAATGGGGAGATGACTTGTTTGATGCTCTGCAGTACCTGCTGACACTGCTGATCGTTTTGTATAATATAACACAAACACGATTCAATGCATCCTAGCACTAAAGTTACATAACAGCTTGTATCTCTAGTGATTACTGTGGTTTTAAGGACCACACAGCAGATTTGATTTGCTCTGGAGGTACGGCAGCACACACATTCACACAAATGTGCTAAAAGACACACACAGACGTAGTGAGTGAAATGTTGCACTCTCAAGGATGACACAGTGGAGCTCTGAGTGAATCTGCTCCAAGAATCCTAATCGATGTGTCACAAAAATGTCAACAGGCCAAAAGATATGAACAACACAAACAACTCAAAAAAACTACCTTAAAGACCTAAAACTTCTGTCAAAAGATACACACACACACACACACACACACATATATACATACATACACA